TTTGCTTTGGCAGCGTTGCTGTCCTCAGCTCTCCAGGCCTCTGGGCCCCTCACTGACTGGGTCAGCCCCTCCACCCTCTACCCCTTCTACCCCCTGCCTGTCTGCTTCCCCTCCTGGGTTCTCCCTAGCTCCCACAAGCCTTTGGATAGGGAGAGGATGCCCAGTCTGAGGCTTTTGTCCTTCCCCATGTCCAAGGGCCCAGCTTTCCAACAGACAAGGCGACACTGGACAGGTCATTTAATTCTTCTGAGCCTCAGTTTTTGCATCTGTAAAGTAGGGATGAAACAGCACCTTCCTAAATAGGTGCTGACAATCAGTAGGTAGCCGTGAGTACTGTCATGGTGACGCACACCCACAACTTCTGTTCTTGGGCTTGCTGTTGGCTTGTGCCACCTGGGGCAGTGCCCCTTCTGGCACTGCTTCCCCATCTGTAAGACCAGAATGCTAACGTGATGGCCCCTGCCAGACTTAGAGTCAGTCATTCACAGAGCAAGGCCTAGGTGACAGGTACAGGCAGACCAGGTTCTTGTGTCCCCTTTTGTTCAGTGAGACCACATGAATTTGTAAGAGGCACAGACTGTCCCCAAGTCCTAGGTTGGACTCGCCACAGCAGACCAAAGTGGGGAGCCTTAGGGGTATCCCAGGAATACGGGGTGTCCCTCACTGCACTTGACAGACAGCTCTGATACACTTGTGGTTACTCACCTGACCCCACACTGCGGGGTGGGGGCAGTAATACAGGCTCCCTCCTTTACAGCATGCAAGGTCTTTTCTCCTGACAAGGAGACTAAGCCCCAGTCCACAATGCACCTTTGCCCCTCCAGGTTCAGGGCCAAACAGCTGCCCTCCTTCCTGCTTGGGGGTGGGGGGCCTTCATCCAGAGCAGGATTCTAGTCAGCTGCCATTACCCTGGTGATCTTGAGCCTCAGTTTCCCCATTGGGCCTGGCCTTCTAGTTGGGAAGGAGTGTGGTGAGATGGACTCCTCCCAGGCCGCCCCAGCAAGCCTCAGGCCCTGCAGCTGGGGGCCCTCTGCACTGCGGCACAATAGCTGCCATTGTCTTGGCCCTGGGGGGGAGGAAGCCCACCCTCTGGGTGACCCCCTGCCCTGGGGTGGGGGAGGGTTATACCCCACCCCCACTGTCCTGGTGGTCCTCACACCCCCCACATGCCCCCCCATGCTTCCTCCCTCCCACCAACGAAGCTTCCTTTCCCTCCCTCTGCTCTAATTAGTTCCTTTTGCAGCTGCATAGGGCCAAGGCAGTGGACCACTGCCACAGCCTCCCTGTGGACCCTTGTGGGTGGGGTGTGTCACACAGCTTACTGGGCAGCACCAGCCACTGCATGAACTTCCCAGGTCTTGGCCCTTGGCTGCTGACGCTGCAGCAGAGTGAGAGGCATACTGTCATCCACCCTGTGGGAAAACTGAGGCATGGGAGGTTCTAAAGTAAAGCCTAGAGGAAACTGGTATAGGCCAGCCTGTGTGCGCTGCCCTCCACGCACTGGCACTGTACCCTGTAGGCACCTGACTGAGTAGGCCAGGCTTCTGTCCTCAGGGACCACCCCACTCCTGCAGACACGCCCTAGGGCTGTATCACCCTTCACTATTCCCTCATCTTCGGGGCTCTGTATCCCCCCTTCCTGAGCTTTAAATCAGGCAGTGGCTGGCTGCCCCCCCACCCTCCTCTGTGCTTGACTTAAGGCTTCTAGAACAGCAGGAACCTGGCTCTTGCCTGTCCCCTTCGCCAAGCCCAAGAACAAAGAGCAGACCCGAGCTTAGACGGGCTGTTGCCGCTGGGGGTGGGGAAGGAACACTGAGGTTGGCCAAGGTTGGAGCAGGAGAGGTCACAGGACCTTTTCTCCCCGAGGGGCTGCCCTTGAGTAAAAAATCAGTGCAGGCCAGCCTGGGATGGGGGTGCTGTAAGGTGTGGGCCTTGGGGCGGCTCCTTCCTCCTTTCCCAGGAGCGGTAGGCAGTGCAAGGGCCAGGCTCTGGCTTCCTTGGGAATGTACCCTTGCCTCCCTGGACAGAACTCAGCAGCAGGAAGTGGGGGTAGGGTGGGGTGGGGTGGGGTCCCTGGGGAGGGCCTGCTGTTGAGGGGGAGGGTGTTGGGAGGTCTCCTCTCCTGTCTTGGGGGCTGCGTCTGGCCTCACCCAGGGATACAAGCTTCTGCTGAGGCCCTTCCCAGGTCTATGCGGGAGGCAGTATCCCCTGCAGGTCCTAACACCAAAGTGACCCAGAGCCAGGCTCCTTCCCAGCTCCCTCTGGCATTGGTGGTGGGGGGGGGCAGGTGCCAAAGGATGTTGCTTGGGCAGTGTTGCTAATGTCCCCTTGAATTCCTAGCTCCCTGTGGTCCCATTCTCTATACTGTGGGGCCAAGGTGAAGACAGGGGCTGTGGGAGGCCTGTGGCCCTGGGCCAGCAGAAGGACCAGGCCACCAGCCCTTCCTGGCTCCTGAATTCTTAATCAGCATAAATATTTACTTCCTTCCTCCCCTTCCAGGCTCCTAGCACAGAGGAGCTTCAGGGAGGTCGGACTAGGCCTTGTGTCTAAAAATAAACAGGTGGAAGGACAGGCAGACAGACACACAGACAGACATAGCTGTGCACTGGGGGTTAGGGGGTGGGGTCAGGCTAAGGGTAGCTCCCTACCCCCACAGGCAGAGGAGGGGGCCCAAGGCCACCCATCCCTGTCACCCATCTCCCTGCCAGCTGAGGTCTGCTTCCTCGAGGAGGGTGGCACACTGCTCTCCATGCCCCTTGGTACTACTGGGAGCCCTGTCCTGGGATGGTCTAACTGATCTGACAGCTTTAATGGTCAAGTCACAGACCTGGGTTCCATGGCCAAGAGCAGCTGGCTGTCCGCGCTTTGATGACACAGGCTTGAGAGGCTGGAATGTCTCCCTGTGCCCAGAAACTCCATGTCAGTAGAAGGCTGAGTGAGGGAAGGGACAATGTTGTTTTTGGTGTGTCTGTGGAGGACTGTGGGGAAGGACGACAGGCTGGGGGCCAGGTGGAGACTAGATAAATACAGTATTGGCCTAGAGGACTGTGTGGGGATGTTGGGCTGACCACTCCAGGGAGGGTATTCAGGCAGCGCTGAATTCATGTGGGCCACCCTAGCACCCAAGAACATGTGGGGAGGAGTATTTTAAGCACTTTCCATATGGTGGTTATGCCCACCATGTCCACCCTTTTGGATCTCTCAGTGACATTTGGTTAGAAGAGAATTTTCAAGTGTATCAATCTTGACTAGCGAAGGCCAGGATGGGAAATTTCTCCCCCACGTGGGGAGAGATTGCTCTCGGAAAATGAAGTGTGAATTTGGAGGGAGAGTGGAACCCATGAGTTCATTCATATCTGAAGACAATTACACCAGTGAGAAATTATAAAATTGGGCATGGTGGGGCTGGGGATTTAGCTCAGCGGTTCGGTGGCCCGCTTCGCAAGTGCAAGGACCCGAGTTTGATCCCCGGTACCAAGAAAAGAAAGGGGAGGTGGGCATGGTGGCATACCTATAATCCCAGCTCTCTGGGAAGCTGAGGCAGGAGACAGCATGGGCAATTTAGCAATTTATTCAGACCATGTCTCAAAGTAAAAAGTCAGAAGTTGGCTGGGGGGCTGGGGATTTAGCTCAGTGGCACTGTGCCTGCCTTGCAAGCACAAGGTCCCAAGTTCAATCCCCGATACCAAAAGAAAAAAAGAGAAATTGGATGGGGATGTAGCTTAGTACAAAGGCCCTGGGTTCAGTTAGCAACACCTCCCCCCAAAAGAAATTACACAGTGAAAATTATAACAATAACATCACCAGTAAAAAACAATAACAAAAATAGGGCCAGGGATTTTAGCTTAGTAGTGCTGCACCTGCCTGGCAAGTGCAAGGCCCTGAGTTTAATTCCCAGTACTGAAAGCAAAAAAAAAAACAAAAAATCCACTATATACATGTATTTTTATATACAGAGTCAATTCTACTGTTACCAAGCCTGCCCCCATTGGACTCTTGGCCAGTCCCCAGCTGCCCTCTGGTGGCAGCTAGGAGAAGAGCCCCCTGTGGTTTGTGGATGCCTCTCCTTGGCCTCACCTGGGAGGTGGGACCCTTTGCCTGTGCCCCCAACCCCTCTGGCCAAGGTTTGCATGGTGTGTCTGGGACACATTCTTAGCCTAGTTCCCTTGGAAATGACACAGTTGCCTGCTGGCCACAGGTGGGGGCACCTAGCAAGTGAATGGCTGAGAAACACTAAGTGTCCTCCTGGAGGAAGGCACGGAGGCTTGCTGCTTCCATGGCCTCCTTCTAGGTCTTTGGGCTCTAACTGGACAAACCTCCCCACAGTGTGGTTCCCCACTCTGTCAGATAGGACTATGCTAGCCAGGTACTGGGAAAAGATCTATCTTTGAGGTCCTCAGTCTGATAACTGCCACTTCCTAGTTCTGCAACCTTGAGACATTGTCTCTAAAACTGTTTCATAGCAAGATGGAGGGCATGAATGCCCAGCATGATGGTGCACACCTGTAATCCTTGCTACTCAGGAAGCACAGGCAAGAAGATTGTTGAGTTCAAGGCCAGCCTGGATTACATAGTGAGACCTTGTCTGAAAAATAAAGTTTAAGAAAAAAGGGCTAGAGCCAGGGACTTAGCTCAGTTGTTCCAGCACCTGCCTCGCAAACGCAAGGACCTGAGTTCAATCCCCAGTACCCACCCCCCAAAAAAAGAAATAAAAGAAAAAAGGGCTGGAGTTGGAGCTTAGCCAGAGAGCGAGCACTTCCCTAGCACGCACAGGCCCTGGGTTTACACCTCAGCAGAGAGACAGAATGAATGGAAGAATGTACACTTGCCTCCCCAGAGATTCATGGAAAGTAAGGCTAGGCATGGTGGCGCATGCCTGTAATTCCAGCACTCAGGAGGCTGAGGCAGGAGGATCACTCTGAGTTTGAGACCAGCCTGGGTTACACAATTCCAGGTCAGTCTCAACTACATAGACCCTGTCTCAAAAAAAAAAAAAAATCATAAGAAGTAGATGCAGAACCTGAGTAGACAGCTGGTTTTCTCAAAATTCCTTCTGGCTAAGGCTATTCGGAGTATCTCCCTACCCTACCCCTTCCCACTTCCTGTGTGCTTTAGTGGGTATAGTCTGAAGAAGAGCCTGTGGTCATAGGGTCATAGCACTGCCCCTATCCTTCCCCAGGTTCCTGCCTGAAGACCAGTTGGTCACCCTCTTCTGCCTGCTGCCTCCTCCGACACTAGCCCCTCATCAACATGCATTCCTTGGACGAGCCACTCGACTTGAAACTGAGTATCACCAAGCTCCGGGCGGCGAGAGAGAAGCGGGAGAGGACGCTGGGTGTGGTCCGGCACCGTGCTCTGCACAGGGAGCTGGGCCTGGTGGATGACAGCCCTACACCTGGCTCCCCAGGCTCCCCACCTTCAGGTACAACACAAAGCAGGGTTGGGGACTTGGATGTGATTGAGCCATGGTGACAGGAAGGACAGCCAAGGTGTGTATACAGGACATAGCTGCAGTCCCTTGCACCTTTGGTTCAGAGTGCCACACACATGCTTGTCCAGCCATCCTCCCGGAAGGTTAGCTTTGGATGAGGGAGCTGAGGGCACCCAGATCATGAAGCTGGCACAGAAACAGATCAAACTGAGAGCCTCTCGGACAATGTGACAGTTGGGTGTGGAGCATCCAAGAGTAAGAGCAACCATTCCAAGACCTCACTTCCTGGACTCTGAGACAGAACAGCTTGTCAACCAGGCAGGTGGAGCTGGGGGGCTGAGCCTAGCAAGTAGGTCTCAAAGGATGCTTTGTGCTCACGTCTGGTGTATATTCACCCATCTGTTCTGCCTCCATGTGGACCCTGAACATCAAGGTCTAAGTTGGATTGGGAAGCAGCCCAGCCCATACCCCCCATTTTATGGAAGGGAGAGGCAGGAAGGGGCCTGGCAAAAACTGTATCACAAAGAGCCAGGTGTTCTGTGTTCAAGTTCCAATTCTGTTATTCACTTGTGTGGCTGACCAGTCCCATCTATAAAATGGGTGGGTCCTACTTCCTTTCTTACCCTGTGGCTGAGCTGTCATGGGAATAACGGTCAAACATGATAGGCGGTATCGTCACATCTGTTAGCTGCATAGGCTGCTCCTTAGATACCTGGGGATCCCAAGGTAGTTTGTGGAGACATGGCTGATGTCTGCTCCCGGGATCACTATGGAGATAAAGGGGCCTGGCCCACCAAGGCATCTGGTTCCTGGCTCCAGCACCTCCTGAATCATGTCTCTCCCTCAGGCTTCCTGCTGAACCCCAAGTTCTCCGAGAAGGTGGATGGACGCTTTTCTGTAGCTCCTCTGGTGGACCTCAGCTTATCACCGCCATCTGGACTGGACTCCCCCAATGGCAGCAGCTCACTGTCCCCTGAGCGCCAGGGCAATGGGGACTTGCCTCCAGTGCCCACTGCTCCGGTAAGAAGGGGTGAGGGTTCTGGAGAGAGAGAATGTGTTGGTTTCTGGCTCCATGACAAGCACTACACAACTGGCAGGCTCAAAACAGAAATATGTTATTGTCTCTCAGTTCTGGAAGCTAACTAAAGTCAAGGTGTTGGCAGGGAAAAGCTCCCTCTAAAGTTCTAGGAAGAAAGCCTTCCTTGCCTCCCTGAGCTTCTGATAGCTGCTGGCATCCCTTATGTAGCTGCATCCCTGCAATCTTTACCTCCATCTTCACAGGACTACTCATGACTTCTTCCTCTGTGTGTGTATCTGTGTCCATTCTTCCTTGTCCTTTCTGTTATAAAGACAGACACCAGTCACTGGATTTAGGGTCACCTTTACCCAGCAGGACCTCACCTTAACTTGACTTCATCTGCAAAGACCTGATTTCCACATAAGGTCACAAGCACCAGTATCTGAGATTAGGGTCTGGATGTATCTCTTGGAGGACACCATTCAGTCCACTAGGGAAGAGCTCAGAAGGAGTCCAAGCTTGCCAGAGGGTCTCAGCAGGGCAATAACGAGCTCTGTACCTCGCCTTCTTACCCTAGGACTTCCAGCCACTGCGCTATTTGGATGGCATCCCCAGCTCCTTTCAGTTCTTCCTACCCTTGGGCTCTGGGGGTGCCTTGCACCTGCCTGCTTCTTCTTTCCTAAACCCCCCCAAGGACAAGTGCCTCTCGCCAGAGCTGCCCCTACCCAAGCAGCTGGTGTGTCGCTGGGCTAAGGTGAGTGGGGGCCAGGAAGAGTGGTGGGGCTCAGGGGGGCCGTTCTGCTCAGACCCTGCCTGGCCCTGCAGTGTAACCAGCTCTTTGAGCTCCTACAAGACCTTGTGGACCATGTCAATGACTACCATGTGAAGCCTGAGAAGGACGCGGGGTACTGCTGTCACTGGGAGGGCTGTGCCCGCCACGGCCGCGGCTTCAATGCCAGGTGAGGGAGCGAGAACAAGGGAAGTAGGGAGAGGCTGGGTATGCAGTGAGCTTAGTGCCCCCTTACCCTCCCTGGAGCAGGTACAAGATGCTTATCCACATCCGAACACACACCAATGAGAAGCCACACCGCTGCCCAACCTGCAACAAGAGTTTCTCCCGCCTGGAAAACCTGAAGATCCATAATCGGTCTCACACAGGTGCGATGCCAGTGTGGGGATCTCAGCCCATTGAGGAGGGCTGGGCAGGCTGGAAGCAGGGGCAGGGGAACCCTAAAGAAAGACTGGACCTTAGAGATGAAGGGCAAACTAGATGTGGTGGTACATGCCTATAGTCCCAGCTAATTGGGAGACTGGGGCAGAAGGATTGCTTGAGTCCAGGAGGTTTTTTTTTTGTTTTTTTTTTTTTTTTGTTGTTGTTTTGGTACCAGGGATTGAACTCAGGACCTTGTACTTGTGAGGCAAGCAGTGAAACCACTGGGCTAAAATCCCCGGCCCTAGTCCAGAAGTTCTAGAGTAGCCTGGACAACACAGCAATATCCCATCTCCAAACAAATACCACCACCCAAAAAAGACACTTGTTTCATTCAGTCTTTGAAATCTGGTGTGTATCTTACCCTCACAGCATATCTCTGATTTGGACCAGCTGCATTTCAAAGGCTCAGGGAAGCTGTAGCAGCTCAGTAAAGGTTGAGCCATTTGGTATAAGGCTGCCAAATAAAAAGGGCAGCCAGCACTCAGTACTCTTCATAAGCCAGGCCTCTGCAAAGGCTCTAAATAACTAACAAAGGCTGGTCAAGATATACAGTGCATTTAAGTAAATTACAGCTGGGTGCAGAGGTACACATCTGTAATCCCAGCACTCAGGGTGACTGAGGCAGGAGACTGACCACAAGTTTGAGGCCATCCTGCACCATGTAGTGAGTTCAAGGCCAGCCTGGATTACATAGTAAGACCGTCTTAAAAAAAAAAAAACCCAAAAACGCTGGGGAGGCACCTCAGCAGTCCAGAGCCTTCCTGACAAGCACAAAGTCCTGAGTTCAATCCCTGTACCGGAAAAACAAAACAAAACTCCTCCTTGCTTTGAACTTTATCCCATCATTCCTGCCACTGTTTGAAGCAGTTCTGGAAAAATTTTTTTTTTAAAAATTTGATACATGGTCTCACTGTGAAGTCTAGGCTGGCCTTCAACTTGTGTTGAGCCTCCTGTTGCTAGAGTTGCAAGTGTGAGCCACCATGTCTAACTGAAGTCCTTTTTTGGGAGTGTCTTCTAAAAGGTGTAATAAAAAATATAATGAATGCTCTTGCTGAGTGCAATCCAATAGAAAGGCAGGCTTGGAAAAGCATCGAGTGTGTCCTTATCCTCCTCATTCATTGGATACGACACGATGTGCTTCTGGCTCTTCCCCAAAGTCAAAATGACCAGGAAAGGTAAGTGTTTTGAATCAGTTCAGGACATCAAAGTACATACAACAGTGCAACTAAGGACACTCATGAAAGAGCAATTCCAGAACTACTTCAAGACATGGCAAAAACTGGGATAAGTGTGTTTGAAGCAAGGGGGAGTATTCTGAGGAGGGTTGGTGGCATTGTGTCCTTTTTTTTTTGTTGTTTTTTTGAGACAGGGTCTCACTATGTAGTTGAGACTGACCTGGAACTCACTATGTAGCCCAGGCTGGTCTCGAACTCACAGCGATCCTCCTGCCTCAGCCTCCCGAGTGCTGGGATTATAGGCGTGCGCCACTACGCCCGGCGGCAATGTGTCTTTTTACTGTAATAGATTTTTTAAAATTTTTTAAACATTAGCTGTATTTTTTGATCAACTATAATCTCTAAGGTCAATTTCTGCCCAATGAAGTTCACACAGTCTGTGGCAAAGGAGCTAAGGGATGCATAGCAAGGATACAGCAGAGCTGGGCCCTAACTACGCTGGGTCCTTCCTGCTGCCCTGACCTGGGCCAGATCTGGGCCAGGTGCTGGGTATACCTCCCAGTCACATAGCACATGCTCTGGGCTGCGGGAGGGGGCTGGTGGTGGGGTGTGAGGAATGAGACCCTTCACAGGACCTACCTCTGCAGGTGAGAAACCGTACATCTGCCCCTATGAGGGCTGCAACAAGCGCTACTCCAACTCGAGTGATCGCTTCAAGCACACTCGCACCCACTACGTGGACAAGCCCTACTACTGCAAGATGCCAGGCTGCCACAAGCGCTACACGGACCCCAGTTCACTGCGCAAGCACATCAAAGCCCACGGCCACTTTGTGTCCCACGAGCAGCAGGAGCTCCTACAGCTGCGCCCTCCCCCCAAACCGCCACTGCCTGCCCCTGACAGTGGCCCCTATGTCAGTGGGGCCCAGATCATTATCCCTAACCCTGCTGCCCTCTTTGGAGGTCCCAGTCTACCTGGCCTGCCCCTGCCCCTAGCCCCAGGCCCCCTTGACCTCAGCGCCCTGGCCTGTGGCAATGGGGGTGGGGGTGGGGGTGGGGGTGGAGGGAGCATGGGCCCTGGGCTGCTGAGCCCCGTCCTGCCCCTTAATCTGGCCAAGAACCCACTGTTGCCCTCCCCTTTTGGGGCTGGTGGACTGGGCTTGCCTGTGGTCTCCCTCCTTGCTGGCTCCGCTGGCAGCAAGGCTGAGGGGGAAAAGAGTCATGGGTTGGTGCCTACCAGGGCCCTGGGTATGGAGGGCCACAAGACCCCCCTTGAAAGGACGGAGAGCGGTCGCTCCCGGCCAAGCCCCGATGGACTCTCCCTGCTGCCGGGCACTGTGTTGGACCTGTCCACGGGGGTCAGTTCAGCCAACAGCCCAGAGGCACTAACCCCTGGCTTGGTGGTCATCCCACCAGGCTCTGTGCTGCTCAAACCAGCTGTGGTGAACTGAGCCTTTCTGCCCACCAGCTATGCTGTAAGGTCAACAACTCCAGGCCCCTGCCCGACAAACAGAAACTCTTCTGCGAAACAGCAATAATATTCTACTGCCCTGGGGTCTGGTGGTTGTGTTCCTCAAACAGCTGCAGCCTCAGATGAGGGGGCAGCAGGGATGGTGCTAGAAGGTCACTGCTGGTCTTCCAGCTCCCAAGTGAGGACCTGGACTTGCCATCCAAGGAAAGCCATGCTCTTGGGTGCTGAGGCCTTAACTCGCCTCTGGCCTCCTGCCTCATAGTTTCTATGAGGCGCCTCTCTGCCCATCCTCCACTCTCATCTTCCTTGACCTCCTACCCTGGTGCTTCCTTCATCCTGTGGCTGACCTGGGCAGGTCACCGTCCCTCCCTATTTTGTCTCCTTGCCAGCTAGGGTCCAGCAGACTGCTGTCCAAGTCCCAGCCGTGGGGTGGGTAGGGTAGCACCTATTCTGCCTGCTGGTGTCAGGCTCTTGCCACTCTCTTCATGTGTGAGCCCTAAGGAGTTCCTAGAAATCGGTGGTCCTCCCCCATCTAGGCTCACCCAGCTTCTTGACCCCTTTCCCTCTAGCCCAACCCTCTAGAGGGAGAGCAAGAAAGACGCAGGCCAGGCTAAGCCACAGGAAGACACCTCATTCTCCCTGCCTACCCTTATGACAAGGTGCCTCCCTGACTACTGGAGAAGGGAGGCCTGCTTGGTCGGCTGCCCCAACCCCTTGCCCAGCCTAAATCAGACAGCACTGCCAGGTTGGCTGCACTAGAAAGAGAAGGAATAGCTGACCACTCATCTGTCCTGTACCTGGGGATCTCTTCCTCTGCCTCTTGAGCACACTGAAAGTGCGGGAAGCAGGCCCAAGAGATCTAGGCCTCTGGTCCAGCACTAGAAGGGAGATGCTGGGACAACTCAGGCCAGGAGGCAGCTCCAGGTCTGGGGATAACAATGATACACTGGGGAGGGGCTGGAGAGAGGGAGATTTCTAGAGGCCATGGACTGGGGGAAGCCAGGCTGTAAAGAATGCCTGCCTGGCCCCTTGTTGAAAGAGCTGGCTAGAGGAAGGAAACTGACTTGGGACAGGATCGCTTCCATTAGCTTTTCCAGCTGAGAGTTTTACCCAGAGGTGGAGTCTCCCCTCGAATCCCGCTCAGCGAGCTCCCTTGGGATTTGTGCTACTCAGTAAGAGTCCAGCTATTCTTTGGGGGCCAGAGTAAGTCAAGGACGCTGGAGACATGTGCTCCACAGGCCCACCACCCCATCCCAGGAAGTTGGGCCCTGCAACTCCTGTAAGCCCACCACCACCAGGCCTCTTACTGTTTTCTCCTCTGCCAGCAGCTGGGAGCTCTGGCTTCTAGGCCAGCCCTGCCACTAGACTGCAGAGTGGTCAGGCCCCTTCATGTCCCTACCTGCAGAACGGAAGAGCTGCCAAGTGGCAGTGAGTTCCTCAGTGGCCCTGAAGTTCCTCTGAGCAGCTCTGCGGACCCCACCCTTTGCTGGACTGCCCTTCTGCCCCAGAGGGGTCACCCTGATCTGGCCTGCCTGGCTGCTGGGCCTAGGAGCCCAGCCCTGATAGGGCCTGGCCATGTTAGCTCTGCCCCTTGAAGGGGCTGTGAGCAGATAGGGAGGAGCTGGTCTCCTTTCTTTGGGCCCCACCCAGGACCCAGGTAAACGTTCCCCAGTTCCTGTCAGGGTCTCAGGCCTTAAGTGCCTGGCTGGGGGTTATGGGCTTGAGATTCAAGCCCAGGAGCAGAGGAACAGGGCACTGGAAGGTGACATTAGCTCAGCATGTGATTCTGTGATAGACCAGGCTTGCAAGGGCCGGTGAAATGTTTTGTTGTTGTCAGTTTGTTGTTGCACATTCCAGGATATCAGTATTTTAACAGGTTCTAAGTGCCTTTCTATTGTAGCTTATGTTTTTCCTCCTCTTGGCTCCATTGCTGTTAGCATAGAGTTTAAAAAAAGAGATAAGCTAATGACTATAACAATATATTCCTCCATGTGAGAGGAAGTTTATAAAGAAACAATAAAAGCGAGTTACAAAGATGGTTTCGGTGTCATGGATGTGCCAGGAGCTGGGCTACCTGACCCCAGGCCACCCCATCCTGACTGGCTGTGAGGTACCCCAGATGTAGCACCAAAGACCCCAACTAAGGTCTTCTGGACCCTGCAGGTGCCACCCCCTCCACATGTGGCCAAGGGCGTTTATGGCAGATAGGCACGAAGAGAAGAGATACACTCGACTATGCACATTCCAAGGTTCAGGTCCTTGGCCTGCCATGAATGTCTAGTGAACTAGATGCTGAGCATTCTGTCCAGCTCTCCATGATGGACTGGGCTGATGTTCAAGCCCAGTTTATGGAGTTCTGGCCAGGGGCTCTTTTACCCTGAGCAGAGAGGAACCTAAATATGGTGACTAGATTTCCATCTCACAGGTACTGGAAGGAGCCCAGCACTGGGAGCAGGAGTTCCCTGACAGGTCTTGGCTGTCACATGGGCCATTTGCCAACCCCAACCCTCACCCCACCCTCTGGGCTGTCAAAGGTTCCCGCCTCCCATCCCAGCATAGTCCTACAATGCCTACAACAGCCGGAAGGGCAACCTGCCTTTTAGAATTGGCATACACGCACAAGAGAAATGCAGGAAAGACATTTATTACCAAGCTATAAATTAAAGAGGCAGTGCGGTGGGGTTGGGGGAGGTGAACAGTCACGTTTTAGGCATTTGCCCTTTCTCTCTGTCCTCCTGGGCCTGGATTCTGAGTTCCTCATCCAGGCGCTCCTTTGCACGGACAACCTGGGGGAGTCAGGAGATCAGGCTGTGGCGAAGCCTCTGCCCTCTGCCTGCATAGCTGGCCTCTTCCCTTCCCTCCTACAGGGCAGTGGGCAGGGCATGAACACCTCATTTAGCAGTGTCCCAGGGTGAGGAGCAGTCTGCGGACAGCCTCTCCACAAGAGCCCAGCACCTGGGCACCTGCACTGCTGGTCTGTGGACACCACCAGTGGCTGCTCCACCGTTCCTTCAGCTGAGCCCTGTGGAACTGGAGCAGCCATAGGGAGTGGTAGTTTGAAAGATCCTTCTGAGGCAAGGGTACCAAGGATAAAGGCCTGCCAAACTACTAAGTGACGGCTGCCCTTCCTAAAAGCGAGGGGCCCAAGTGAAGAGGAGCTTACCTTCTTGCAGAATCAGAGTACTTACCTTTGACTGTAAGTAGAAGGAGCCACCGACGGATTTATCATTCACCTTAAATAGGTGTTCGTAATTCTGTGGGAGAGATGATGAGCAAGTTCAGTCTCTAGGAAAGATACCTGGGAAGCTAACAAGGAAATGAAGCTAAACAGCTTGACCTCTGCCTACATGCCACACTATATAACTCTAGAAAATGCTATGACCACTCAGGATCAGACATGGGACAAGTACCCAGAAAGGGATGGGCTCAGCTGCTCCTCTCAGGTGCCCCATGTCTTTGCAACTGCCCTGATGAAGGCCTAAAACTTAAGCAACACTGGCTCCTCCAAGTGGGAATCTCCGATGGATGCAGTCCGAGGCTCCACCTGTCTTGGCCAGCTTCCCTCCCCCACTTCCAGGAGCCAGTCTGGCAGCCTCACCTTCTGGATCTCCTCTGCGCTCAGCTTGGAGATGTTGAGAATCTGCTGAGCCTCCTGGAGGCTGAGGCCGGAGAGGTTGGATGCAGCTGCAGACTGGTGTCCTGCACGTCCCCGGGCATCAGCTGCTGCCCGGCTGGCTGTGTAGACATGAGGGTGATCACTCAGCCCTCAGCAGCCCAGAGCTCCCCCTGGGCCTTCCAAGTGGGTGGCTCAACCCTGCCAGGTGACCCAGAAGAGACACAGGAACAGGAGTGGCCAGGAGAGATTCTTCTCCAGTAGTGGCTTCTTTTGGAGGGGAGAGGTTGATGGGAAAGCAAGGACAGACATGCCTCACTGGATGATCAGGGCAGGATCTGACCATAAAACCTGGCTCCTGAGCCAGACGTGGTGGTGCACGCCCATAATCCTAGCACTCAGGAGGCTGAGGCAGGAGGATTGCTGCAGGTTCAAGGCCAGCCTGCACTATGCAAGACCCTGTCTCAAAACGAACAAACAAAAAACCTGGCCCCTGGTCCCCAATCTACATCACAAATACCTCTTTTTCTCTTAATCCTCAGCTCAGGCACAGCAAATTGAGTAGTTTAGGCTAGTATGAGGACCACAAGACAACGTGTGAAATTAAGAGCAAGAGGAGAACAACAGCTTGGCCAGCACCTGGCTACTAGCAGAGACACAGACCACCAAAGCAGACTGCCTCAGGTGACTACTTCCCTTTCAATGACCCTAAAATCAGGAGCCAAACTTTTCCTTAAAAGGTCCTAAAAGTAAATATTTCAACTTTGCAGCCAAATAATCTGTACTGGAATTGCTCAGCATTCACTGAAAGCCTAAGCCAGGGATTTAGCTCAGTGGTGCCTCACAAGCCTGAGGGTATGGCTGTGTTCTCATAAAACTTTATTTATAAAAGCAGGTAGCCAGGTGAGCCAATCTACCTATTCCTGCCCTGGATACTCATGCTAACCAGGCCTCGGTGAAGATAAAACTTCCTTTACATGAGAAAGTCTCAGATTTGGGCAGTGACCCCTACCATGGAGAAGTACCCCATGCTACCCTCACCCACAGATGGATCCCTGCATTCACAACCAGCCTGGCCTACGGGGGAAATATGACCTGGACAGGACCTCCCAGCCCAGGAGGAGATGAGCCCAAGCTTACCTGCAAATTCCTGCCGCAAGGCTCGAGCAAAGGCTCTACCCACCACCTGCGCGCCCATCACAATGATCTGGGCCAGGTACTTGGCCTGTGGGCAGAGCAGGCACCCGGTCAGCAGGCTGTATTCTCAGGCCTGCAAAGGAAGTACCCACCCTAGAGATGGCTGCCATCTCTAGCATCTGAGGCTGTTGGACAGTGGAAGGCATGAGGCACTGAGCTGCAGCCACAGGCCACCTCCTCCAAAGCTTCTGCTCTGGGGGGCTTCAGATACTCACTGGAGTCCCCAGAGGTAGGCTAGTCCTCCTGCGGCCTATCAGGAAAGGCCGAGAGGAGCCAAGGCAATGCCATTGGAGATGGAGGGCACAACTTAGGAAGAAACACTGCTGCCTTCCAGGCAAGATAGTAATTTTCCACCTCAGGGCCCAAGATAACTCCTCTTGTGCTTCTGAGATTGGCTGATCCAATATCCATTTCACCAGTGCAGAAACTCAGACCCATTTTAATTTGCCCAAGACTATTCACGTCCTGTACTTGGGAGTCCATTCCAGTCAACACAACAAAATTACTAGAATTCACTTAGAGCAAGACAATTTTCGCCTGCAGGAGCTAAAAGTTGACAGGAGGGTATTCAGACAACCACTGAGGGTGCAGGGATTGAAGACAGTACAGCCAGTTTATCTCTTCAGCTACTGGTTCACAGCCAGTCATTCAAACACTGGTTTAGGGCCTTCATCTATAATGATCTCTGCATTTGAGTACAAAGATACACAGAACCTGGTCCCTGCCCTCTGACGCACAAGGCCTGGCAGGGAAATTGGCTGCAACACAGCAAGGTTATATAGACCTTCAACTTTTGACTCAGTGTCCCATGCAGGCACCAAGGGAGTTCTGTCTCAATGAGACCAGAGCTACAAAGGCAACTCAGGAACAGGACACAGGTGCTGGGGAAAGATTTCTCTTTCCCTGAACTGGGTCCTAACGGTAAGACAGAATTGTGAGAGAATATTAGGGCTTTCTAGGCAGAGGGACAGGAAGGAAAGTATAAGGGACATTATGGGAGCAGCCAATAACCTGGGCTGGCAGGAGATAAGACAAAGAAGGCAGATGACATGAAAAAACATAGATCTTATTGTGAAATTGGAATAATATGTAGATAGCATGCATAAAAATGATCCTTCGGGAGACTGAGGCAGGAAAATTACAAGATTGAACATAGCCTGGTCAACTTAGCAAGACTGTTCCAAAATATTAAAAGGGGTGGGGCAGTTGTGGCCCTGGGAGCCAAGTATGGTGGTCCTGGGAGGCTGAAGCAGGAGGACCACAAGTTCAAGCCTAGTCTAGGCAACATAGCAAAAAATATGTACAGGGCTGGGGATTTAGCTCAGTGGCACCCCGCCGGCCTCACAAGCGTAAGGTCTCGTGTTTGATCCCTGGTCCCAACAAAAGCCAATGTACAAAGGGTTTAGAATCTAGCTCAGGACAGAGGCCCTGGGGTTCACCTAGTACTCAAAACATAAAGAGACTCCATGTCTGTTAGTGAAAGCACACAGAGGACACTGGAGCATACTCACTGTACTTTTCTTTCTGTACACCCATGTAGTTAGATTTCCTGCCAGTCAAGCTCCTGTCCTGAGCTTGTGTGCCAGGCACTGCAAACGTGTTCTATTGTTTGTGCCATTTAATCCCAGTAACTCAAGGGGTTTGGTGACCAGCCCAAGGGCACATGGCCAGCAAAGGGGAGGGGAGGGGAACTCAGGCCTGGTGCACGCTTCACAAAGCCATATATCGCCTGCTGCCTCCACAGGATCTTGGGGATTGGAGGGAGGCAACTGAGCAAACCGACCAGTGTTCAGGAACTCAACGCAGAGGCCAAAGAGGGGCTGTCAGATCCCAGGGGAGTCCAGACTCTAGCAGAACTGGCCTCCTTCCGCTTCCAAAGCCCTGTCCTTCCTAACAGGCAGGATGTGATTATGGGCCATCAAGGGAATGAATAAACAGAAGTGGATTTCCATTTCATAAGGAGGTGAGCATTTCACACTAGCAAGCATAGCCCAGGGAAGACCCTGTGTGATGAAAGGTGGAGAGAGATTACAACCAGCTGTGTTGCACATGTATGGAGTAACAGGACACTTGCTTACGGGGTAAAATCACTTGACTTCTGCTGTCCTTGCCTAAAGCCACTCGCAAGTGGGACAGGAGGCTGAGACAGAATGCTAGTCCTGTCTGCAGGCCATCAGTGATGCCAGAGAGCTTTCTTGACCTGGATCACCT